TATTCCAGCGAGTACTCCACGATGTACTCGTCCTGTGGCCACACTGTGGGCGGGGACAGGCCAGGTCAGCCTGCAGGGCCTCTCTGCCTGGGGAGGGTGAGGGACAGCAGGCCTGCCTGGGGCCCTGGGCTTTTAGCCCCAGGGAGTGAGCCTACCTTTTGCGGGTGTCTCAGGGAAGGGGAAGTCCTGGCTGTCGTTCAGGGCCTTGGGGCCACCCGATGGCTTGAACACCTTGGGCTCGATGTCCAGCTCAAACTGCAGAGTAGGGGCAGGGGTCAGTGGGCCATGGGACCCTGGGCTCTGGCTGCCCAAGCACCTCCCTCCCTCCAGTGACAGGGCCCCTACCATCCCTGCAGCAGCTCCATCATCTGGGAAGGCCAGGACCCGCTCAGAGTTCTGGGCCTGGAGCCTCTGGGGGTCTCCTCGGCTATCTCTGCCCTTGGCACCCCCAGTAGGCCAGTCCTTTTCAGGTGACAGCTGGGACACAGCCCTCTGTTCTGTCTTGAGGCCACCAGAGCAAGAGCAGCAGGGAGCCATATGGCCAAGTGCCAGGGCCTGCAGGTCAGGCACATTTCCAGCAGCCGGGGAGGGCCTCAGGCCTTGGGTCTGTGCGGCCCTCCCAGCCAGCTCACCTTGATGGAGCTGTTCCCAAACATCTCCATGGTCAGCTCCTCCTCTTCCTCCTCCTCCTCCAGCTCCAGGCCGGCCGGCTCCACGGCCAGGCCAGGGAAGCTGCCGCGGCTGCCGCCATCACAGAACTGCAGGAAGACGGGCGCGCGGCTCGAGTTGTGCTGCACCTCGACGCGCAGGATGCCTTCTCGCGGCCACTTGTCCCGCACGTGCTCCAGACAGTTGATGGGCGAGCGGGAAAAGACAATGTGGATGTAGGCCAGGACGAAGAGCACGAACAGGGCCTGGGGGGCGGGGGCGGTCAGCAGGGAAGCTGCCCACGGCCCTGCCTCCCACCTGCAGGACCCTACCCAGCACACCAGGCCCCAAGCAGCCTGGGCCCCGGGGGCTCAGGCAAGTCCTGAGTGTGTCTTGGGCACCCGCTGGACCCTCACCCAGGGATGGCCCAAGATGGCTTGGGCCCTCCTGACAGGGACCTACAGAGCACAGGGGGCCGCCAACCAGCTGCTCCCTCATCCTCAGAGCCCAGACCTCACCAGCTAAATACAGCCTCCCTTGAGGCTGGGGCGCCCGCTGCACCCACACCCTCCAGGACTGGCAGCTGCTGAACACAGCCGGCCTTCTCAGCCAGGCCATCGGCGTTGCAGCAGGGCCTGCTGGATCTGTCTCTTTGAGGGGCAGTTTTCTCATCTGTGAACAGGCCCCAGGAGCCACGGGGCCACATCTTGGGGCATCAGTGGTTGTCATAGCTGAGGGGCTCCTGGCATTAAGTAAGTGGGTCCAAGGTGGCTCCTCCATACCCCCCAGTGCCTAGGATGCCCCAGTCCTGATGTCCACGGTGCCCAGGAGAGACCTTCACAGCGCTGTGCCTCTCATGGGGCCCCAGTGGATGCATGTCAGCATCCCAACCTGGACATATCACTCCTGTGTGTCCCACCCACGCACCCACCTCTTGGGGAAAGGGCCTGAGGGCCTGGCTAACCCAGTGGGGTGCTTGCCTGCTGCCCTGGCAAAGGTGGGAGTTGGGGGTGGCACAGCCTTTGACACGTCCCGACCACGCACTTGGTCCCACACTAGTCCCCCACTGTGTGGGATGAAACCACAGCCAGAAACACCCGGATAATAGACCAGAGCCCAAGGTCCCTTCTTGTCCTCTGGCGGGATGCTGACACTCAAGGGTGTGGTTAACTGCCCGTGGCCGCACAGCCGCCAGCACCTCATCCTTTCCACACCCTGCCACGAGCCCCATAGGTGTCCCATGGACTGCCTGGCCTCCCCAGTGGAGCTCGCCCTGCAGGCTGAACAAAGGCTGGGCCAGCACAGCACCCTCCCCAGTCCCAGCCCGGCCCCTGTGGCTGTGACTTGAGGGGATGAAGAGTGGAGAGATGCCCCACATACCGCTGAGGTCCTGGATCCAGCTGTTCCTGAAACTGAAGGGGCGCCCCCCCCACGCCAACTTCTCAGCTGTGTGAGTTCCAATACCTTCTCTTGGCCAACGTGAACTGCCTGCAGCCAAGAGCACTGGGGGTGGGGGGGTGGTGCGGATGGGATTAGAGCATTGCTAAGATGTAAGCAGACACACCCCAAGCCCCAGGCCTTGGGCTCTGGGCAGAGACTGAGAGCATGGCAGGGACTCTGCCTGGGGGGCAGGCAGTGTGGGAAGCCAGCTGAGGCCCCACAGGTCTGCAGAGCCTCCCACGGGCCAGTCTGCAAGAGGGCCCTGAGATGTGGCCACAGGCTAAGCGCATCTGGGACCCCCAGCCCCTCTCCCTAACACTATGTCTGAGGACCGCTGAGCTGGCGGCAGGGGTCACGATGGTGTGGGACCCACCACGGCAGCCAGATGTGATCAGAGAGCTGACCCACAGCCCTGGCCGTGCTCTTCAGGCCCAGGTGTCCAGCAGGAGCACCTTGTCAGGGCACCATCCCCTCTGAGCCAAAAGGACAACACTGTACAAGGTGCCGAGACACCATGAGAAGCACTGACACACAGTGTGGCCTGACGCCAGTGGCTGCCCAGGCGTGTCCCCGGGGGACACATGCACCTGCCATCACCCCTAGGTGGCACAAGAGGAAACCAAGGCACAAAGGCCACAGCCGTGAGGGGTGGAAGCGGAGTTAAGCCTGGAAGACACACCAAGCCGGGGCAGCTGGGTCCCTCGAGGAGGGGTACAATGGTGGCACCAACGCCCATGACCTCGCTGACTGGCCCCCAGGACCCCATTGTCACCCTGGTGCCCTCTCCAGCACCCCTCACAGGAGTCTGCCTCATCAGTGTCCTCCCTTGACCCAAGACCCCAGGTGGGGTCCATTGCCCTTGAGCATGCAGGTGGGTCCCTAGAGGTGGGCCCGAAGCCTCTCCCCCCACTTGACGAGGCTGCCCAGACCTGGTCCTGTTTCCCCTTCATGGAACACGCTGGTAGACGGGGCTTTGGCTCCCTAAGACGTATCGCTGGACACACAGGACAGGCCCAACCACGCGGGCCCACTCTGGCACCCAGCAGCCCTGCCTATTTTTCCTGTCCCAGATTTCAGGAGTTCTGTCCAGGCCCTTCCTGCCCTCCACCTGGCCTCTGTGCTGCCTTCCTGCTCCACCAGCTCCAAGGCCTTTGCACACACCACTCCCCACAGCCTCAGGCTGCCTGATGTAACACAGACCCTGCCCTGCCCACTGCCCGCTGCCCTGGGGCCCAGACTGGTTGAGGAGGCGACACAGAGAACACCTTCACTCAGAGCAGGGGCCCTGGGTTGCTCCACGCACGTCCTCTCTGTAACCCCCAAGGGGACTGCTCAAGGGGCACCCCGTTACCCCTGTTCTCCAGAGGGAGTGAATGGCAAAGGCGCATGTTCAGAGCCCCTCACCCCGCGGGCGTTTGCTCAGCAGCTGCAAGGCTAGGCTGCCCAGGGTCCCGAGTCCACTCGGCCGGGCCTGGGTACCTCAAACCCACTGCTCCGGGACTCAGTGGTCTTGGCTGGCCTCAATGCCAGGAAAACCAACAGAAGTGGAAGATGGGCTGCCGGGGGTCTCCCGAGAGGCCCCGGCCACCACTTCTTGCTTCCCAGGAGCTGGCACTGGACACTAGTCCCCAAAATAACCCGAGACCCAGCAGAGGGACGAGCGGCCTGGCTGGCTCACGCCCGGCAGTGAACTTAGAGCACAGGTGCCCCAGGAAGAGGCAAGTGTGAGGAAGTCCGGGAGGGGAACGTGATCTTGGCAGCAAGAAGGCAGGAAGCCAGCAGGCAGCAAGCAAAGGGGCGGAGCTTTCTGGAACCTGAGGCAGCCTCAGCAAAACCCAAGGCACCAGAGGTCAGGTGGGCTTGCAGGGAACAAGGGTCCTCCTGAGCTGCAGCTCAGTCTAGGCAGCAGAACTTGGGAGGCTGAGAGCGGCCTGGCCGATCTGACCGCCTGCACCAGGGACACTGCCTGGCCTCCCAGTCACCTGGTCCCCTGGTAAAGGGGAAGTGGGGGGACAAAGATGAGGCTCCGGGACCTGCTCTTGAGGAGGCTGAGGACGGGGTTCCACCTCACACAGGGAACACCCTCAAATGACAAAGGCTCGACTGCCAGACACAGTGACGCCTTCTGAGTGTGTGGTGTGGACACCCGAGGAGATCACACCCACACAGGCTTCTGTCCACATTCCAGGCGTCCTTGGGTCCAGGATAAAGGAATCCTGATTCAGTCATCCTCCAGGACCCAAGCCATGTGCCTCAGGAGACACCTGCCGTCCTGGGGGCTGTGGGAAAGCCAGCTCCACTCAGCATCGGGAGGCCAGGAGCATCAGTCATCATCACAGACTTGAGACTGGGGGATTAGGGGCTTCCCCGAGACTGTGGGAGGGCCAGGACCCACACCCAGGCCTGTAGGACGGCCAAGCTTGCGCTTTTTCCACTGAACCCGAAAGGGCTGCAGGCTCCTGACCAACCTGGCCCAGGCGCATCTCATGTGCCTAAACCAGCAGGGTCAGCCCCCTTCTGCACCATCCCCCGGCCCTGCACGGCAGCGCTCCAAGGGGAGATGAAACCAAACAGCCACTTCTCTACTCCCCCAGGCTCACCAGGCCAACAGGGACCACTCCTCTGCTCAGGATCCCAGAACCCTGGCACCCAGTGGGCTCCTTCTCTGAAGGGCCTCAGCTGTCACCTGAGTGAGACCCCTTCTTGGAGGGACCCAAAGCAATGCCTGTCCTCCTTGAGCTGCCCTCACAGCTGAAAGTTCTACCAACCCAGGGAGGTTGACGGGCGGCCCCTTATTAAGCCATAAGCAGCACCACCCGCTGGGACTCTGCCACTAACGCTGGTGAATGTGACCTCATCTAGGTCACATTCCCCAAAGAGGTTCAGAGAGGGGAGAATCCGGGTGGGGGCAAGCAGAAGGTCCCGAGGGGGAAAGAGACAGAAGAGGGGGCAGCTTCCGGTGAAGGTGGGTCTGGGGGTGTGTCCTGGGAGGGGGGCAGTGGCGGTGGGGCCTGGAATCCCTCAAGTCTGAGGTTCTGGCCCAGGCCAGGATGGGAGGGTGGGGTGGGGGTCATCCCGGGCTGAGGATCCCAGGCGCAGGGCCAAGGGTCACGTTGCTAGGAGGAAGTCCCTGGCAGGTCAGGGCCGGGCTCCCTAGCTGTAGGCCTCGGGAGGTAGGGGACGCGGGGAAGGGCGAGGCCAGGAGTGGCGTGCGCCTGGAGAGGGCTTGGAATGAGTTTGGGATCGGGGCCACTAATAGGGTAAGACTCGAGCCTTCCCGGGTGGAAGTCTCTGGGCGGAGGGGCAAGGGTGGAAGGCGGAAAGGAAGGAGCTCAACGGGGCGGTCCGGGTCTACGCCTCTGGGTGGGAGGGGCTCGATGGCCCGAGCCGGGTCAGAGGTTACGGGTCCGGGGGCAGGGCTTAGTTGCCGGGGTGAAGGGTCGGGGCGGCGATCACCTTGAGCAACACGAAGAACTCGAAGAGACGGCGGAAGGCAGGCGGGAAGAGGCGCGAGTAGGTGACAGCCATCTTGAAGAAGAGAGCGTGGAAGAGCCGGTCGCGCACGTTGATGAGAGGGTTGGGGTTG